CTACCGCTTGAGCCACATCCCCAGCCCATGATTTGTTTTCAATTGTTTCAAACACCTTCAGCCTCCTGATCTTCAACTGCTTTTTTATCACAGATACTGAGCACTGTTCTGCAGGCTGACTGTCTGTTTTGACTTTAAGGACACCACCCATGAACCTTCTCCACAGCCCTCTGCAGGTGGAATGCTCCTGGCCTCTGCTCTGCGCTTACTGTGGTGGCTTCCCCTCACTTGTGCTAGTTAACTGTCACCACTTGGTCTCCAGCTCCTCAGGGCCAGGATTTCTCCTTAGGTATTAATGAGCCTAACTCTAGGATCACCTTTACTACGTTTACCACCAGCCTGCAGAGAACAGCACCCTAAACTTCTTAGCAATGCAGGTCCCTGTCACCAGCTCGTTTCTGAAGACTATGGTAAAAGTGGGGGGCCTGCTGGGTCTCTTACAAAATATGGGTCTGATGCCTTCCCAAAATCTCTGCATTCCACACCCCCACTTCCCTCAGCCTCTGTATTCCATCTGTTGAGAGTTGGACATCATTATTTCCAGTCTTCACAGAGCTCCTGGAGCCTCACAAATTACCACAACCTAAGCAGCTTTAGCCAGCACCATTTATGACCTGACAGTTATGAATTTCCAAGTCCAGTAATGGGTCTCACAGGGCTAAGGTCAAGGTGTCAGAAGGTCTGTGAAACTTACTGTAAGCTCTGGGAATAAATAAGCTTCCAAGCTCATTCAGGATGTTAGAATTCAGTTTCTTGCAGATGTAGGGCTAATACTCCCAGTTCCTTGCTGACAGTAATTTGGGAGCCGCATTTAGCTCCTAGAGCTCTCTTTCTAGCCCTCACACATAGCCCCCTAGAGCACATACCAATCCTTCTCTCACTGAAACCTCTGACATCCTCTTATCTGTTTCTGATTTCCCCTCTGCCTGCCTCTTCTGCAGCATCTCTCTGATTCCAGCCAGAGAAGGTGTCTGCTTTTAAGGATTCATGTGATTTGATGGGGTCACCCAGATAATCCAGGAACATCTTCTTATTTTCAGGTCCTTAACCTTAATTATATCAGCAATGTCCCCTCTGCCATGTGATGCATCCTGGGCCTGGGCATCTTTGGGGCTCATTCTTCAGTCACCAATTCTGCTTGTGTTGAAATCCATGAGGATCAAGGAGACATTGCTGCTGGAGAGGAGACAGGGACCCAGGAGCAAAGAGCCCAGAAGTAGGGGAATGAATTGGGGAATAGTAGCAATGAGAGGAATGGGAGCTCTACTCTGGTGACAAGTTAGGGAATGGTAGAAATCAAAGAAACAGAAAGGTCTGAGAACCACAATGAGGAATAAGGTCTCCACCTCACCTCCTAAACCAGGAGTGCAATGTCCCCGGGGAAGTGCCATGCTGAGAGAACTTGAGAGGGGCTGGGTCCTTGGGGAGACCCAGGCTTCTGTTAGGAGGGACATCTTGAAAGGATGAATAATTTACTCCTGTCCCGTAAGAAGAGAGGGCACCCACCCTAAGGCTCAGGTCCTCTGGCACCTGATGCTGGAGATGAGACTTCTGGGAACATGTCTGACTCCAGAACAGGATTTTTTTCTGCCCTGCTGTAAGTACCAGAGGCCCAAGGAGGATAGAGGCTGTGCCCTTTGTCCTGATAGTCCCAATGTGCATGTCCACATTCTAGGATATTAGGTAGATATTAAGACATTGTTCACAAACAAGAGGTGATTTTATTGAAAAACCTAGTGAACAGGGAGATTCTTAAAACTGAGCTTCAAAAAACAGAAATAGGGAATAGAGGAAAATATTTTTTCTTGTCATATGTAATGGGGTGTTGCCAGGAAGCTAAAAAGTTCAGTAACAGAGAGAAGATAGAAGCCTTTGGGAGAGCGTAAGTTCTCTTGATCTTTCTTCAATCTCTGGCACATCCCTGACCTGGACCTCGAGGAGTCCAGAGCTCCTCAGAAGCTTCTTCATTCTCATTGACACCCAACCCCAGAGTGGTACCTCTGACCCACTCACAGCCCAGCTCTCTCCTGGGCTGCTCAGGCAAAATTTCAGAGTAATGTGACAGCTCCCCCGTGTGGCCACAATGCTGAACACAGAAATCCAGTTCAGCTTTTCCTTCCTACAAAGGATTCTTTGGGATCCCAGCACCAGGACAGAGCTCTGCACACTGGGGTCCTCCTATCCCCCATGGTACCAGGTGCAACCCGTTTCCTAAAACCACAGTGGTATTCATATTTCCGGTCCACTGAATGAGCACAAGGCAGGAAAGGTCTCCAACCCATAACATCTGGATCCCAGTTCAGTGTAGACCCACAAAAGTATTAGTGCCCTTAGTCAACTGGATGGGAACTTAGAAGCCAAGTTCCTATCATTTGTTCTGTCTGCTCCCACTGGAACTTGGGCTGCCACATGAATCAATCCAGTGATTCTCCAACCCTGAGATCTTAGGAGGAGTCTGGGGACATTAGCTTTAAGGAATTCTGGTCATGGTGCTTTCTCATTGTTTTAGTCAGTTTTTCCATCACCATGACCAAGAATTGACAATAACAATCACAGGAGGAAAAGTTTATCTGAAGCTCACAGTTTCAGAGGTCTCAGTTCATACAAGGCCAACTTCATTGCTCTGGGTCCAAGGTGAGCAGAACATCATGGCAGAGGAAAGCAGCTCAGGTTATGGCAACAGAAAGCAGAGTTCTGCTCACCAGGGACAAAATATAAACCCCAAAGACATGCCCCCAGTGACCTACCTCCTCCACCAACATTGTCCCTGCCTGCAGTCACCTCACCCCTCCAGTTATTCATGTCTGTTGATTAATGCACTAATAAGGTTAGGGCTGACATAACCCAATCATTACATCTCTAAACTTTCCTGCATTGTCTCACACATGAACATTTTGAGGACACCTCATAACTAAACTGGAACATGAATTCATTTCATACATTCATTTCTCTGACCTTAACCTTAACCATGAAGGGTATTGGCAAGGTTGGGTCTAAACTCAAGGGATGAAGTGCATATGGAGAATTCAAGGTCTTTGAACACCAAAAAAATAAAGGATTCTCAGAAGTAGATCTAATCTAATGAAGTATGAGCTAAAAACTGAGTTAAGTGGGTGAATAAACACAGTTTTATATTATTATCCTCAGAAAAAACAATAACAATAAAAATAAAAATGAACACAAAAATTCTAAAACAAACTGCTTCCACTAAAAGGATCTACCTTGTCCACAAATTTAGATTTTTACCCTATAGTTATTTATTTTGATGAGCACTTTTGATGTGATCAATATATCAAAAGTAAAATATATTCAGATTCATTCATTGAACACATATATGTATACACACACAATCTGGCAGGCAATATTGTAATTGTTCTGGGAAAATAGCTTTAAAAAATAACAAAAATCCATACTTCATGGGGTGTTCATTATAGTTTTAGGAGATTAGGAGACAAAGAATAAATTAAATGACAGTGGTGTGGTTTATCAGGTCATGATTTATGCTGTGGAGAAAAATCAAGGCAGAAAAGGTATGTAGAAGGTAGGAAGTATGAGATTGGAATTTTCTAGAAGTTAGGCAACACTGAGACCAAAGACAG